ATGCTCAGCGTAGTCGATTACCTATAGTCCATGGCATTTTGAGATTCCCAGAGATGTCTGCTCGGAGATAGACACGTGCTCGGGGAAAGCGAGCCCTGCCCGAACGACGATAGCTAGAGAGTCGGGAGTTGCATAATTTTGTAGAGTAACGTTCGAACTATCTATGCATGCAAAAAAGTTACTAATATTGTATGTTAGTTTTCTGAGAACGAAGCTGGTTTTCCAAAGATCCTCTGGAAATCCGATCTCTGGAACTTTTTCAAAAGTTGTTTCCGCTTGTAAAAATTTCTGCTCAAGTCTTGGCTATTGAACAGCGAAAACTGCAGGTCTCTATCTCATTCCTATCAAAAGTTATTCAAAAAATGCCCACGGGTCTTGTATTTTGGGATGGATAGTAATACCAGTTGTGCACAAACTACTAAAAAATCTCCGTACGAAGTGGTGTTTGGTCAGAAGCCAAGGTCCGATTTCGAAATGTGATGATGGAATTGAAGATGAAGAACAAATGCTAGCTGATTTTATGCTCAATGAACGTAAGCTTTCGTGTAATCAAAACTATAATTTAGGCTGTACTCGTTGCTCTTTAGAAGCTACATCATGTGAACCCGATGGTAGTACAAATCAAACTAATGATGAAATTTATGATGGTACAAAGGCACAATATCAGCGAAAACAAAGCGAAGATTTATTAAATCTAACGGTATGTAATTTTTCTGATTTATGTTTAATTAATCCAAGCAATGTACCACAATTAACTTTCATACAAGTATGCAAAGAGTATGCAAATTTAGGTCCTTCAAGTTGTAATTGTAAATCAACATGTTCAACTAAAGCTTGTGCATGTAAATCTAAAGGTATTTTATATTGCACAAAGTGCCATCCAAAGAAAAAATGTCAATGTTTGAATGTATAAACTTTTCCTGTTTTCTGTTTCTGTTCCTGTTCCCTGTTTGTTTAATTGAATAAATTATCAATATCAGTATGCTAAATATCAATCAAACACTCGTTAGGGGAGTTTAAAATTGCTCTATAGGGGAAGTCAAAATTTTGATTTCTACTGGCATTCTTTCAGGAGAACTCGAAATTTTGATTTCTCCTAGGGGAATTTTAAACCGCCCTAGATTTTGATTTCCACTGCAACATATATATATATACTAAACTGTTGCATAATCTTAAGAAACGAAGTCCAATACCATGATTATGCAATACTGTGATATTCTAGGTTCTTGGACCATTTTAGAACTGTTGTATTCAGTTGACTAAGGCTGATGGAATAACCTTGACATTGGTCTTCTCCCTTATGGCACGACTCTAGTGCGTGACATAAAATTTGTGTTCTTTTTTAATATCGATCATTTAGGTTAGCTCACACTCATTATTGGATATTTTATGAGTACAGCCGGTATAGAGATTACTAGTTCTTCGAAATTATATAGGCTACGTTTCCCTTTTGCTGTTCTTTAGAAGCTGTTCATGTAATGATTAGTAAAAGTTAGAGTACGTCAAAGTCGAGCTCGATTTCGCTCCCCTAGGCGTCGATTCTTACATAAGCATCAGTTAAGAATCCTATAAGAAACTTATAAGTACTCAATAAGATCCACGTAAGAATCTTATTTGATTCTTATCAAATTCTTGTATAAGATTACGCAGGAAAGTGAATGGGGTTTGATAAGAGTCTTATAAGAATTTCATAAGAAAGTGATAAGAGGTCTTATGAACTTCTTATCACTTTCTTATGAAATTCTTGTTTTGTAAAGCGATCTGAAAAATGCTCAAGAAGTTAGACTACGTTAGTAATGCATCTGCATTGTGCAAAAAACTTTGAAAAACATCATACGATCCGTCTAGGATTCGAACCTAGGGCCTACGGCATGCCATGCCGTGCTCTCATCGATGGAGCAATTACGGACTGTGATAATAAAGATCATCCCACTATTACATTCGGATTAACCAGTTTCAGATTTTTGAATTCCGTTTCTGAATATATCGACAACTAAAGACAAAGCACTCTCGAGAGTAGAACGACTTCAAAGTCACTATGAAACATAAATGTCTTACAGTCAAACATTGAGTTTCTTACTATTTCGTTGAGTAAAACAGAATCGTCAAATTACTCCCTGTCCAGAATAATTTAAAATTAACTGTTCCGAACAGTCTTGCAAGGACAAAGTATGTCAGAAACTTCTTATCAAAATTCGGTAAGAATAAGCATTTTGTAACACGTCTATCACAAACAGATACAAATTTTTCATCAGACTCTTATCAGATTCTAATCAAATTCCATTCACTTTCCTGCGTAATCTTATATAAGAATTTGATAAGAATCAGGTAAGATTCTTATCGGAATTATAGAAAATTTTTTGTCTAACGTCTACCAGAGATTATTACTATACAGTACCGCAGATGTTTAAACGAAATATCCCTTTGATTTCTTTCCTTATTTGTTAAGGCGCCGCTAATTCAAAGTTGAAGCAGTATTTTATTTTTAACTTATCTATACACCATTAGCTGGAGTTCGATGAGCTGATTCTGAATACAACTTTTTAAGCATTTCCCCAGCCTTTCTTCATGGAAAAAATTTTAAAATACGAAAGTGTTTCTGTTTCTGGAAAACCCTCTCCTTCAGGAGAAATATGTGTAGGTCTTTTCCGTTTCCTTCTGAAACTCTCAAGTATTTTTCCTGAATCTACGTCAAAAATGGAATATAGGCATGTCTTGCTGAACCTCATCACATATCAGAAAGTTTCCAAAATAAATTCGTTCCTGAAAGGTCTCACGTAGACCTGATTTTCTATACCTATCCGGTTTTCTGCTTCAAGAGTCAGAATTCTGCTCCTAATTCTAAATTTATTTCATCAGAACTCAACTTTTTGTTCAATAAAAATATCATACACGGAATCATGACCAAACGCTGAGTCGACTAATGTGTATTTCTATCCTTTCCTACTATACTTTTGATTGAATTTTCAGGTTGAAAAATTCCAGAGATTTTCACCAAAAAATTGAAGTTCAGTGAAAATTTCGAAATATTATTATTCCAACAATAAAAATCATGTCTGGCATATGCGCGATTTCTGACAATAGCGAACTAATAGCTGTCGATTTGCCTGGCAATTTACCAATCAGCATGCTCCATCCATGTACAAGTCTTCTCAGCCTAGAAAATGGATGGGAGTGACGGTGAGTAATGAGAAATGCCGCCTTAGACTCACAGGTGTTACATGTTGGAGGACAAGGAACAAGACAAGAAAGACCGGAAAATTTGATTTCTCGAGCACAGTAAGCATTGTAGACGAGACAAACTAGTGAATTATCATCACAAGTAAAAAATGATCTATATTTGGAATTATAACTAGTTTTTATTGATCAAGCCAAATTGGCTTGAAAACATTAGACGAACTCCTTCTTTTAGCTGCAAAAATTGAAATATAGACACGAGTGATTTTTTGACGACGGATTCGAATTTAAGACATTTTCTGCCAGAAAATTAGAGATTCGCGAGCCAGAGATTCTCTCGTTACAAGATAGATATGGGGGCCACATAAAGTTCAACGATTTCAAGCTATTTCTGTGGATCTTTACTGCGAAAGAGTGCTATGTGTTTTGACACAGTATATATCTCTGTAACAAGATAACGCATGGAGTTCGCGAATCTCTTATTTTCTAGCAAAAAATGTCTTCTTTCCTAGCATGAATGGCTCTGCGATTTATTAACCTGTAGCCTAAGGACAGTACCCATTTATTACTCACCAGGGTAAACGGCTCTTTCTCTTTCATAATNGAAAATGTCTTCAATTCGAATCCGTCGTCAAAAAATCACTCGTGTCTATATTTCAATTTTTGCAGCTAAAAGAAGGAATTCGTCTAATGTTTTCAAGCCAATTTGACTTGATCAATAAAATCTAGTTATAAATCCAAATATAAATATACTAAGCTGCCTATGTAGCTACTGAACACCGATTCATCATCAATACAGATTTGAATGATAAAAATACGGAATCGCCATTGTGCCACGGTATACCTAGTCATAACGTTGCTTGATCGATGGAAATCCAAATGTCAATATATGATAATAGGGCTTTCACAATGGATGATTAGACATACCATCACACGATGGAGATTCTGTATTGTCATCGTCGAAATCTGTATTGATGCTGGGTCAGTGTGACTGGAAAGCTCTACTCAACTTCCAGCAACCGTTGGTTCTGGTAAATCTGCGTTGCGATATATAAAAAAATGTCCACTAAGCGATTCTAGTAATGCGAGATTTTTTACAAATATTCAGGAGACAATAAAACAACAAGATATGACAAGTGGTGGTAAAATAATCGATAAGGAAAAAACAGCGAAGCGTTGCATTTATATTGTTTTTTTCTTGTCTAAACTTGGCAGCCACGACTGCTTAAAGCTGTTCTTGCTGTTCGTGTGAAGTAGAATTTTTGCCCAAATAAGATACAACACCCATGTCCACTTCGTTTTTAGTTAGCTGCTGACGATGTTCTTGTCTTCGTTTCAATAGTGGAATGGCAAATAGGATAATACCGCTTAACACTATGAAACCACCAAAGATAAAATACGGCCAAAGAAATGGTCGAGGAGCTTTTTTAAATGCATCACGCATTCCTCCTAAAATATAACGAACGCAGCCAATTGACATACATGTAGAAGTCAAAAGTGTAAAAGGTCTAAAAGTATTTTCAATCTCATCCCGTGTACTAAAAATCGCATAAAAATCGGCAATTAATTGTGAAAATCATACGATTAATTGTGCGCTTAATCGCGATTAATTACCGATTTTTTGGTGATTTTTAGGCGATTTTAGCGATTAATCGCAATTAATTGACGATTTTTTTCTAGGTACTAGGTTCGAACCCATCTTAGGAAATACATTTTTTTTTCTGTTTTTTCATTGTTTATCACGTAAATTACATGTGCGCCACACAGCAATGGTCTTAGCACCAGCTGGCGTCGGGGTCTTGCTGACGAGTCAGCTTTAAACATTACCCACATACCAGCTGTTCAGTGGGCTTCTCGGTTTATAGCTCTGAGAAACAATAGAGAAGACTCTTGACAACTCCGTTGTATTCTAAAATAAAAAGATAATCTGAATATAAGTGTATTTTTCACTTAAATCGTGTTTCTTATATACAAACTTTATTGCAAAAGAAAACGGTGAATAACAACAACCATTTAATCACTTAAAATCAACAATTAATCGCAATTAATTGATGATTTTCGTGATTAATCGCTATCACTATCAAGGAAGTCACTATCGGAATTCCACGTTTGAACTACATTTCAACAGGTGTATGCTAAGCGGATGCGTGGAGGGTAGGATGAGTGTGAGTTACGAGAGAATATTACATTAGTAGTCTGTGTTGCCTGACGTACATGTCAGTCATTTGATCTTTTGATACGATTCTAGGTAATTCGCTGATGTAAATACGGAGTGACTTTAGGTGTTCGCCAGGCAAAAGTAGTGAGCTGGTTTTGTAGGGCAGCTCACTCCGGAAGTGCTCTTTGGGCTTTCTAAAAGGTGGTTGGAAAGCAAAGTCACACCTCAAAGCATTTGATGGAAATACGTTATGGAAGAACATTCCCGACTGACATAGTTCTCTTCGTTTATTGTACTATACGAGCAAAACGACAGGAGGCCAGGCCATACTGTAAATCCCATGGTTTCCATAAAAGTACTCCCTTGCTTCTGTTCTACGGCAATTCGGTACCTCGCACTATAAGGTCAAATGCCCGGTGCATCCACCAGCAGCAATCACCAGTGCAATACTCTCTCGTAATCTATTGTTATCTTCCCTTCCTAATTTAAAAAAAAGTCGCAGTGTGCTGCAAAAGTCGACTGCCAGTAATCACTTTAATGCTAGTCATCACTAAATATTTGATAAATGCGTAAAATCTAAAGTCTAAGAAATCTAGAAGTCTAAGAAGTCTAAAAGCCTTGGAAAAAGTCTAATTAGATTTTTAACTTCTACACTACTCCCAATTGAAACAATAGGAGAAATGGGTACGTACCGACAATCGGAGTGCCTATAGCGACTGCAACCCCTTGAAAGAGTAGAACCAAACCCAATCCACGTGATAATTTATTAATACTGACAAGATCGGTAATAATGATCGATGTCAAGCCAACGTAGCCGCCAGAGAAAAAACCTAAATATGAGGCATAAATTGATTTTATCACGTATTGGCAATGGCGTCACGACCCTTTCTTTTTTACATGCACATATAAATGAAAAAAAGAGTGATCTAGGTTATGTTTTGGTTTCTCTTTTTCGTTCTGCGTTATCACGTAAGGGAAAAACGCAAAGACGTTTTGTTTTTCAATGCTTGCACAGATAGTTTTGTAACGTTTTGAAAGTGACCGGTTAAAGTTCGAAATATCAACTAAATAAAATGATGTTTAAAACAGCTGTAATTATAATCATATTTTTGATAAATAAGTCGTTACTCTCAAACACTATACTTGAGACAAATGACTGTTATCTTTATTTTTTTTTGTATAGAAGAAAAGAACAAAAAAACACGAATAAAATGATTTAGCTAGATCACACAGCCGTTTAGAAGCATGGCATATATTTCGCTTCCCTTGTCTTTTCCAGTTCTAATACAAGATATGATGATTTCAGAGTGAGCAGTTGATTAGATATGACAAACAGTGGTAATACAAATGTTGCCGTTCCAGGCGCGATTGTACCCGATGGTGGTTGGGGATGGGCTATCGTCTTTGCATCCTTTATGATTCATTTCATCATGGACGGGTAAGTGATTTGATTGGAACATTTTCGAACATCCACATATACATACAAAAATGAAAATAGGGTTACATACGCGATGGCCGAAATTTACCTGGAACCGATGTTAGAAACTCTTCATCTCAGTCGAAGTTACGTAACGGCCATCTTTTCAATTTTGCCAGCTGTCACTTTAGGCTCAGGTCAGATATTTATTTTTCAAAAGGACTATTTTTTCGAATGAATTCTCTTTAGGACCGATTGCTACAGTTTTCACCAATATATATGGATGTCGAGCAGTCACTGTAGTTGGTGCTTGTGTAGCCTCATTTGGCTTCTTTCTTAGCCGGTGGTGGACGAATATTTATTATTATTATGCAACGATTGGTATCATCGGAGGTATGCTTGCTATATTTTCTCTTGTGATCACTGATGTTTCGCTATGTTCAGGCATTGGTTTTGGACTAATATATGCGCCAGCCATTATCTCTGTTGGATATTATTTCGAAAAAAAACGTTCATTTGCTATGGGCATTGCTGTTAGTGCATCAGGTTTGGGTACAGTTATATTTCCTCTCATTATGCATCGGGTGATCGCTTTATTTCTTTGGGGCGATTACAAGGGTGCTCTTCTCATCGAATCAGCCATCATCTTCGTATGTGTCATTTTTGGTCTCCTTATGGTACGTCGATCATTCTGCTTTTCTTTGACATATGAATATATAAGTTCTATATAGCTTCCTCTACCACAAGAACCTAGCGAGAAGAGACGTGCACAACGAAGATTACGATCAGAAGCCAAACGACAAGCGGCTAGAGCAGCGCAGAGTGTTGGTAACAGTGACGAACAAGCAAGACAACTACTGACAGAAACGGAAAGGTTTGGAAGAAAATCTGACAAGTATTATACTTTCAAGTTTGAGTCAATGAGTATCTCCAAGTTTTTCTAATTATTTCTACCATGTTTCTTAGATAGTGTTTCTATTTGACCGATCAAATTCAATCTAAAATATGTCTGCATTGCGTGAAAGATGACCATTTGAGCAATACAATTACAAATAACCTGAACTGGTTGATAGTAACCTGAGCAATTAGTCTGTTGGTATCATTAGTACCTTAGCACTATTTAGTGTCCCGCTCTCTCATTCCCTATTACGAGCGAAGTGTGCAATATGAAATATGATACGCTAGTACTCGCGACAAAAAGTCGATGTTACACTGAGGGCCCAAAAAGCACGGGGGTTTTTGTTTTGTTCAATATTGTTACAGTATGATTCATTTCTTTCTTTCTCGTTATTTGATATCATACACTAATGAATCATACTGTAACAATATTGAACAAAATAAAAACGCCCATGCTTTTTTGGGCCCTCAGTGTATTACTTGAGTTTTGCATTTCTGAAATTACGAACCGAATTTTAAATTCAAGCCAAAGCAATAATGATGTTTGCCGTGAAATACGCTATATTTTATCTCTAGAGAAGCGTATTCAAATGATTTTACATCCCCTCTCTAGACAATCAAGAAGCTATGAGTGTGTAGTTGTGCTTCGGAATATTTCGTTTCTTGAAAAAGCTAGAATCTAGAAAAGCAGCTCTCTTCAAGTTTTTGTACTGTAGTTCAAACAAAATAAGCTGTTTGACGAATTCTTTTCTACAGATTTCTGTTTCTGATGCATTTGTTTTTGCTTAGTGCACCCATACAAGAAGCGAATATGGCTCTGCCAGTATCGGATAATGTTGATCCACATGAGCAAACATGTTTATCAGATAATCAAGGTCGGAAATCACCCTCTCCGCAAGACGTTCCATCTTCTCTGTCTGATGGTAGTAATACGAAGAGCAAAAGCACTTCTAAATCTCTGTTAAATCTATCTTCGCCGTGTCCTCCTTCTGTGGTAACAATACGAAAGGATGCTATGTATCAAGGTAGCCTTAATAATATACCTTTATACAACGACGATACCGATGAATATCATCGGCAGGTAATCACGACGAGTGATGCAGAAAAGCAACCTGTGCTGACAGCCGGTGAAATAGACTCAAAAACTATTCCCAATAAAAGCAATGAAAAGGCTACATCGTTTATTAATCAACTTGCAAATGAAGTCGATCTGAAACTTCTCGGCGATACGGCATTTGCACTTTTTACAATATCAAACTTTTTGACAAGTCTTGGTTTCAATGTACCGTACAATTTTGCTCATGACCTTGCAAAAGATTCACGTGTCAAAGAAAGTCAAAGAGAATATGTTATCATGTCGATCGGTTTGTCGAATGCTGTTGGTCGCATTTTAATTGGCTATTTAGGAGATTGTAAATTGGTATGAATGAACAAACTCTCTTAACGATATATTATGTTTTTTTATTTTCTCAGGTCAACCGTCTTTTTTTATATAACTCAACGTTAATCATTGCCGGGCTGGCTACTATAATTGCTCCACACTGTGGTTCTCACGTTCTTTTTCATTTAATTTATGCCTCATTTTTTGGTTTTTTCTCCGGCGGCTACGTTGGCTTGACATCGATCATTATTACCGATCTTGTCGGTATTAATAAATTATCACGTGGATTGGGTTTGGTTCTACTCTTTCAAGGGGTTGCAGTCGCTATAGGCACTCCGATTGTCGGTACGTACCCATTTCTCCTATTGTTTCAAT